TATCATTTTTCAAAAAGGTCTTTTCCCTATGCACTGCAAATATGTTACCTTTGACATAAATTAAGTCACAGGTTACCAAATATGTGTGGATCTACTCCTCGTCTTTTCTACTTTGACCTATTTGTCTACCTTTGTGCCAATACCACATTGTCTTAGTTACAATAGCTTTGTAATACATCTGGACATCTGCTAGAGTTATTACCTGTAAGATTGCTTTGACTATTCTTGAACTCTCACATTTCTATATACATTCTGTAGTCAGCGAATTAATTCCTGCAAAAAAATCTTCTAATTTTTATCAGGCTTATGTTCAGTCTAATCTATTGACATCTTAATATATTGAAATTTTAACCCATGAATCCCTTCATTTGTTTATCTTCCACCTTTCATTAATTTTTTTTTCAGTGTAAAGGCCTATATATCTTGCATAATTTTACATTTGTGTACATAAGGGATTTTGGTCATTTTCCATTCTTGTATCATCTTGTGTTTGGGGATGACGAGTATATCAGCCTCATAAAATGTGTAGAAAAGTGTAATCTTTTTTGTTATTTTCTAAAACAGTTTGCAGAAGATTGGTGGTATTTTTTTTAAATAAGTATTTAGAAGAATATCATGGTTGCTTTTTAAAAATTATTAAATGGGCTATTACATCTAAACCACTTAGAAAGTATCTGGCATTTGATAAGTGCTATAAAATGTTAACAATTCTGATGTGCTTGACCATCCATTTTTCCCCATGTAAATCATTACATTAAAATGCCAGAACAGAATGGCAGGTTTTATACAAGGAGACCGATATAAAGAGGTAATGTGCTTTAAGCCATACTTTAGAAGTCACCCTTGACTTGTATTCAATTATCAATTGACTACTCATAATATTTTCAGAGAATATTCTATTTCAATTTTTCAGCCATTCTTTTGCTATAAAAGTTAGATTAATACTACATAAAGGAGAGGTGGGTTTTGACAGAACATAATTTTAAATAATGAATATAGTCAACTTCAGGGCTTCCCAGGCTCAATAGCAAAGAACCCTCCTGCCAATGCCGGAGATGCATGGTTTGATCATGGGTCTGGAAGATGCCCTGGAGAAGGAAAGGGCAACCCACTCCAGTATTCTTGGCTGGGAAATCCCATGGACAGAAGAGCCTGGTGGGCTACCGTCCATGGGGTCACAAAGGAGTCGGACACAACTTAACAACTAAGCAACAACATGATCAACTTCATCTCATGCTCATGAGGAATTTTTTATAGCTGATGCATATACACTGAGTTCATGACACATGCAATTTTTTTCTTAATACGGTTTTCCTGTAGACCTTCTTTCATTCCCAATCTCTGTTCTCTCTCTCTTTCTTGCAGTGAAACTTTCAGAGTTACCTCCATCCAGTCTCCGTGTCCAGACATCCACACATGTCAACCACTATCTGGTGTTTCCTCTTACTACTCCACTGAAATGACTCATTGCCAAGTTCCTCTCAACCACATCATTTTAAGCTCATTATTCTGTCCTCAATCTACAGGAGCTCAGTGGTATTCAGCACTATGGACACACCTGCTTTCTGGAAACATGCTCCCACCTTATATTCAATGGCAATGTGCTCACTGCTTACCTATTTAATTTTATTCTATTTACAGTCTTTGCTAACTAATCTATAGATAAAGATTATATATATATATACATATATATATATATATATATATATATGACTATGAGTGTTGAGTTCAATCTCTTGAAGCATGTAACTTCGTTTTCTGTGACTGTTGGTCCTTAAGTGTACCTAAAGTACAGAACATTTCTTTTTTTAGCTCCATATTCATGTATCCAGTCACCTCTTAGACATTCCCATTTGGAGGCTTCTCAAGCATCTCAAATTCAACACTATCTAACACTGGGCTCCTGCAGTTACTTCCCTGGCTGCTCTTATAATTCTTTCTTGCTCAAAGGCAAGCCCATCTTCTTAGATCCAGAGACAAGTGGACTGAGCACTATCGTTGATCTACCTCCTCTCTCCCTCACCCCATAGTTAAGAAACTGTGAAGTCCTGCTCACTTTAATCCCGTAACTTCTCTCCAATTTCACTGATATATTTTTCTTTTTCTGGTACTGTTATTTGAAAGTCCAGCCTACCATCAGCTTATCCACAGCCCTGCAACTGGCTCGTCTCTGGACATTCATAATTACTAATATACCCACTGCAGCCAGAATGCTCTTTTTAAAAGTTGACTCTGAGAATGTAATGCCATGATCCTGCTTAAAAATATCTGTTTAATGTCTGGCTCTACTAAGGGAATGTTCTCTGTTTCATTCAAGTGTATCATCAGCATTCAATATGTTTGTTCAATGATAAAAGAATCAAAAACTGAGCTTAGAAGAGAACCAAGAGAGCTTTGATTCATCTACAAATAAACATTTTCCATTGACATGGAGGTAAGGACTTCTCCAAATATAAGACATTGCTTAATTTAAAAGCTTATAATTAACACAGCCAGAGTTTATAAATAATGTCATAATCTAAGCTGTGCACTTAATGCAAGAAATTATTTCCTGGGATAGACCACACTCATTTATCCAGCTCAGCCCTCTGAGAATCACACATGAAAGGGCAGAGAAAGAACAGGTCTCTATAACCTGATCTGTTAATCATGTATTTTCTAAGTGTCTATTAGGTGCCAGGTAGGATGGGCTACCAAGAAGAGGAAGGCGGGAGTTAATTATGGTAATTATGAGTCATGGCAGAATACAGCAGATGCCAGAAACATGTAAGATGAGGGGGTGTGAACAAGAACAGTGGACTCCAACACAGCCAAGAAACTAATAATAAAGCATATGTGGGCAGGGGACTTTTGAATGTTTTGAAGGCAGGCAGAATTAATCTGGGTAGAAACTGGGGAGAAAGCATTTCAAGGGAAAATCATAGTCTGAATGAAGAGTGACCTGGTGTAAAGTAATTGTCACAGTTACCTTGACTTGGGAGAGGTTAGAGAGGCCTCAGATTGAGCAGAGGCTTTGGGTGGTTGTGATCAGAAATGGATAAGATGACTTTCCAACACTGGATCTACCAGATTGCACAGGTTGGGAGACAGGAAAAAGGCATGAGGACTGAAAAAGAAAAAGAGGCCAAGGAAGATGCCCTGGAGAAGGAAATGGCAACCCACTCCAGTATACTTGCCTGGAAAATCCCATGGACGGAGGAGCCCGGAGAAGGGGTCCACGGGCTTGCAAAAGAGTCGAATACAACTTAGACCTCAACAACAAGGGGCCTCCCAACCTTAAGATGCCTGTGCCAGTAAGGGAAATAACAAAGCTAGTAGGAAGTTGTGGAGTTCGGGGTCCTGAACACAGGAATAATGCTAAATTCCTGACCTGCTGAGGAAGAGATGCCTGTAAGACATCCAGGCTGGGTAGGGGATGGGCTTGAGAAGAGAACCAGGAGAGTTTGGTCCGGCTTTCAACATTCCTACTAAATTATGTTTAATTATCACATGACAAGACCATACCCCATAAATCTTATCTACAAAGCATCCCCAAATCTTTCATATGGCATTTGACAACTTGTATGAATCTTAACATTTCACTTGCAGATAACATTCATTTTTAACATCCCATGACTACTTACTCAATTAACAATTGTTTTCCATACAAAGTTATTAAAGGTTGATTCTGTCCTTGCTTTTGCATCTCAGCTGCTATTTGTGTCCTAAACTCAATGCTGAAAATTCCAATCGGACTACAGAAGAAATAAGCCTTAACTAATGACGCCTTCTTTTCGGGCGAATTATTTCATTTTGAGTTTCTATAGAAAAGAGCAACAATAAAGTATTGGTTCCACTTGTGAATAAGTAAGGGGTTATTTTGCTGCTGAAAGTTTTCATTCAAATGACTGATCAGATCTCACGTGTCTGTTTAAAAATGTCTGACTTAGGTCATTACAAAATGACAGACTGTGATAAACTGGATGGTAGTTGGGAGTGAGACAATGAGGCATTGTTTACGCAGAAGATTGAGTAACTGGTTTAACAAAAGAGGTTCTTGGGTATCTATTGTATGTACAACTCAGAGATTTACTGGAGCTTTTATAATTTCTGCAAGGTTCTTTTTCAGCCAGCTTCATTAACTTGAAGTAAATCAAATCATGCAGAAATCTGGCTCAGCGAGAAAGCAACCCAGGAAGATAGAATATGAAGAAAAACAGACACAGGATGATAAGGTTTAGACTCTTTGGCATTTTTCATAAACATTTTGTTTGAAGATTATTAAATTACAACCCAGAGAGAGAGAGAAAAAAAAAAAACCCAGTAAAACTCACTATTGAATCAGATCTTTTTACTTCAATTTTTCTTTACAATACATACATACATATATATATATATATATATACATATAAAACTGCACATACAAAGTATGTGTCAACAAAATATAGTTTTTACAACTTAAATATAATTTGAACAGAAGATATTTGCATACATTTTATATATGCACAAAAATTGGGATATTTACTTGGAGGAGGTTACAGTGAAATGGGACAGTATGGTATACTCAAAAAGACTTTGGGGATTGTACCTTTCTAGGAATAGGGTTCTGAGATATATGTTTTTATTATGTGTAGCTTATTTTGCTTAGGAACAAAAGAGCCATGTGGATTGTTACAGCATTTTTACTTTCTTAAAAGTGCAGGCTCAGAAGATTGAGTAACTGGTTTAACAAAAGAGGTTCTTGGGTATCTATTGTATGTACAACTCAGAGATTTACTGGAGCTTTTATAATTTCTGCAAGGTTCTTTTTCAGCCAGCTTCATTAACTTGAAGTAAATCAAATCATGCAGAAATCTGGCTCAGCGAGAAAGCAACCCAGGAAGATAGAATATGAAGAAAAACAGACACAGGATGATAAGGTTTAGACTCTTTGGCATTTTTCATAAACATTTTGTTTGAAGATTATTAAATTACAACCCAGAGAGAGAGAGAAAAAAAAAAAACCCAGTAAAACTCACTATTGAATCAGATCTTTTTACTTCAATTTTTCTTTACAATACATACATACATATATATATATATATATATACATATAAAACTGCACATACAAAGTATGTGTCAACAAAATATAGTTTTTACAACTTAAATATAATTTGAACAGAAGATATTTGCATACATTTTATATATGCACAAAAATTGGGATATTTACTTGGAGGAGGTTACAGTGAAATGGGACAGTATGGTATACTCAAAAAGACTTTGGGGATTGTACCTTTCTAGGAATGGGGTTCTGAGATATATGTTTTTATTATGTGTAGCTTATTTTGCTTAGGAACAAAAGAGCCATGTGGATTGTTACAGCATTTTTACTTTCTTAAAAGTGCAGGCGAGTGAAGGGATTATGACATTCAGATAAGCAGCCACATTCATTGGCCCCTTGCTCCTCAGTCTGTCTAAATACTCTCAGAATTCACTCATTCACCCCCTCCCCCTCTTTCTCAAGCTATACTACTGAGATTATATTTGGGAAATTAGCAAAAAGTAACATCAGAAGAAATGGCTATTTGAAGCACCCAAATATTTTCACTGAGTCCTTCACGTTTTGGGTGAATGTTCTCTCAGAACATTCTAGAGCATCCATTGCCAGCAATGGACCAGGAGGCAGGCTGGCATCCAGCACCAAGCAGCTTACTGAAATTTTACATCTAGGTCTTTAGTTGTTATGGCTGAAAGATCCCCAAAGAACTGGGATGATCCAGGTAATAATTAAAAAAAAAAATCTATTTATAATATACATTATTTGGGTAGATGGTGGCTATCAAGGACTTGTTAACTCAGAGGGGGAAACAAAAAAAAACAATCATCTGAAAGGAGGGTGAGGGTGCAAGTGAACGTCACTGAATCTTGATGCGAAACTGTCAGAGATGCGAAAACAAGTTCAAAGTCACGCTGGCATCTAAGTGGCCTCCTGGCTGTTCTCAAGGAGGGTGCTGAGACCCCTGGACGCTTGCTTTAATGTCCTGTTGGAAGAAGGGATGTTGGTCTTTTACAGTCTATGGAGTGTTTCCTTTCGCTGGGCTGACTCCAGATGCAAGTCGATCACCCCTGCACACGGATGCGCCCATGGGCATGTGCATCTATGCCATGAAGACGGGGAGGGTAAAGACAGGGCTCCACACGGCACGCATCTCAGAAAGACACCACGGCTGCCACCGAACGACAGAGAACCCGGTCTCATCCGTCCAACAGCCCATCGGCTGCTGGCGTCCAAAGTCAGCTTGTGTCCTAGAGCGCGTTGCGCTTCTTCCGAACGGGGCTCTGGCTACTGCCTGGCTTCAACTCCGCATACTGCACCTGTGAAAACAGACAGACGTGGCGCTGGCGGTTAGGTAACCCTAGCTCACCACAGTGTGTTAATGGCTCCCCGAGGACACGGCACGGCAAAGGCAGGAAGGTTCAAAGGTAATGAATCATTTTCTAAACACAGGAACATGGAGGGATTAATTGCAGGAAGGATTTGAAGAGTCATGCATCATTTCTTGAAACCAAAATATTAAAAGCAGATTTTTCTAATGAGATGCATGGGTTTCTACCTGCTCTCGGGGCACTGCTAGATTTCAGTTGTGTGTGTGCCCGTGTTCGACCAGGAAAGAGCTTAATAATGGCCCTTTGGGAATGTTTATCTTAGTATATGATACAGCAACTTACTACGAATTATTCATTTCGAAGTATCTAAAATCTTGGGGGAAAAAAACTTCTGCCAATTATATCCATTTCTTTTGCCAGAGAGGGAAAGAATGTTGAAATGGATACCAGCCCCAGACTAATAAAGATTTCTCTTCAAAATGGATTTCATTTACTGTATAATGGCTAAAACATCTGCGACAAACACGAGCACGTGGGGAGTCCCCAGTGGCAAACTGCCTATTGTGTTATTACCAAGTGTTCTTGGAGATACACGCAGATCTCACTAGCTTCCTGGGCATCTCTCTCGAATGCTCTTTTGTTGCATCCTCAGTCTTCATGCCAGCGCCAACTGGATGACCTCGCTGAGGGTTGGTCCCCAAACTGTGCACAGACAGTCCTTAGGGGGGCCTTGCTGGGAATTTCCTTTCTTCAAGGATGCAGGCACAAATGCACATTGTGACTCAAGTGATGGTACGTTGCAATCACATTGCTTTGGTGCGTGGGCTTGGATAGGCTGACTGTGGAATGGCTTTGTGCAAAGTATTGTATTACAGACCACATGTGCTCACTATTTTGAGTATTTGTGCCAAATTCCCCAGGGATATCCTACCCCATCACATAAGCTGAGCTACACTTGGTGGAAAGCAGATATGTGAAAAAGGCATGCTTCCCTTAGAGCTGTTTTGTGAAGGTCTCCAAGGGGATGATATGCTTGTCAATCTTCAAGGCAAAACAAACAGGGGCCAAGTTACTATTTTACAATCCTGTAATGCAATGTTAACCAGTAAATTCATATTAATAGAATATATTTTAATAGATAATTATATCATTAAATGAAGGCTAAAGGAAAAAAAGCAACACAGGGTCTATTTTAATCTCTAGGATTCAGAATGAAGGGGAAAGAAGCACCTGTCAACCCTACATCTCTGCACTCCACCCAGAGGTGCTGGGAAATGAATTACGGTACACTGGCCTGAGGATGAAATTAATGTTTGATTTGGGATTCTCTCACATAATTGCGTCTTTGATCGTCCTGATGATGTTTTATGCCACTGTCTCCCCAACTATCTATTCTATGACCTGTTCTCCTTTAGAGAGATCTTTACCTTTGCCTGCCCTCCCCTCCTCTGGGTTTACACCAGCCTGATCAGCGGGGGCCTGAATTAGGCTGCTCTAAACTTTCTGGTGCTATTGCCTTGCTTAATCTCTACGTATCCACAGAAACGGGACACTGCTGGACTAAGGGACCGTTACCTGTGAGTAATACTTCTGATTAATCTCAAATGATCGCACGCCATCTCTGCCTTTATGTGCATTAGAGTAAGTGGGAGCTGTCCTCAGAATCTCTTAAGTCTTCAGACAGAAGGGGAGAGGGGGGAGGCCCGGGAGATAATCGGGGCAAACAAGGATCAAAAGAATAATCCTCTTGTCCCCTACTTCCTGGAGAACGCCTGCCATCGGGAAGAGGAGGAAAATGGGCAGGCCTCCCCCCGGCTCTGGATTTCCTGTGTTCCCACTTGCTGAGCCTATCTGACCCTCTTTGGGGAGGCAAGCAGTCAGAAAAAGGACAAACCTCTCTGCACTGCAGCCTCGCAGCGTGAGTTCCAGATCATTCTTAAGTAGTCTTTTTCAGGATAATTTTCCCCCATCATCTCATGCTTTGGACAAAGGTTTTGCTGGCCACCTCTCTGCCAGCCAGGCCTCTTGAAGGATTTCTGATTCATTATCTCAGTGACTCACACAAGCACAGCCCCCTGCTCCTCTGGCTCGGGGGTTGGTGGGGGCAGGCCAGACTTTGGGGTTGGGGCCCCGGTTGGTGGTGACCATTCATTACGTACCTTTTGAACATCAGATGGTACCCTGGAGAGGAAGTCCAGAAGCTCATTATTGTCGATGGCATAGGGGTTTCGAAGCTTCTTAGTGAATTTGTTTATGCCTGGAAAACAGACATACCGGGAGATCTTTTTGTCTGTTGATCTCTCTCTCCATTTGTCTACCCATCTTTAAAAACTCACCTGACTGGGGGAGGAGAAGCATTCACAAGTAAAAATTAGTGTGAAAATAATCACTGGATCTCAAGTCATGTACCCGTTGCTGTCATGTGGAATCATTCAGAAATGTCTTTTCTTGGAGGGAGAAAGGGGGGGATCGTTGGAGAGGGGCTGTGCCTTCCTCAGCTGTGAAAATCCTATTAGAGTCCCAGCAGCAGGGTGGCAGAAACACACACTAAAACTGTGGATCTCATTGGTTTTTTTGGACGACGCTGATTAACAGCCTCCTCGCCTAGGAAAACGAATGTCCCAGATGGGAAAAGGCCTTCATTAGCCCAAACAAGTCTCTGCTTGGGAGCTGAGGACCAAAGGCAGCAGTGGGAGCTGGAGGGTGGGAGCTTTTTTTTTTTTTTTTTTGGTTGTTGTTGTTAAAAAGAACCCGCAAGAAATCTATCTCCCCCCTTCCAACTCATTTTCACAGGTTTTCCTTCTCTCGCTGCAGAACAGAACTTGAATGTTGGTCGTACTTTGATGCTGCAGAAAACTGTGAAAAGTTATTATTGGAAAATTATCTTACTCTGGTTGCTAGCTTAATTTATGGACTACAGCGCTGGTGTGTGGGTTTGGCTAGGCCATGGAGTCGTGCTGATTCAGGACATCGGTAATTAGAAGGGGGTGAGACATTTAAATCACCGACTCAATGGACATGAGTTTGGGTAAACCCCAGGAGTTGGTGATGGACAGGGAGGCCTGGTGTGCTGCGGTCCATGGGGTCGCAAGGAGTCGGACACGACTGAGCGACTGAACTGAGACGATTAAGCTGGCCTTGGTAGGGGCACATGGGCGCGTCCAGGACAAGCTCTGCCCAGAGTTCCCTCCCCAGAAGGAGGCACCTCTCCACCACCTTGGTCTTCTATTCTGTTCCTCAGAGCTCTTTCGAGGGGCAGGGCTGTGACTATATAGCCAGAGCTCACAAACTGTGATCTGTTCACCAAATGTCAACTGCATTTCGTGCTTTGTTTTAGAAGCAGAAAGACAAGGTGGCCTCCTGAAGTCTGGCTACAGAGCGCTTGCTTATCAAGGACCATAACTAGGTCCTCGTCAACCCCCACAATGCTGAGTGCTCACTGTGTGTTCTCCCAGTAGCGCTGATGCCCAAGTCAAGGTAAGATGTACCTATTCAACAGTCCACAACACAGAAAAGGTTTGATGTTTTTCTTCTTTCATTAAATATTACTTCGCTTTCATCTAAGAACTGGACTTTCTGCGTGCCACTATACCTGACACAATGCCCAAGTCCTGGTGGTTTCTTTAAGAGGGTCAGATTTACATCCACTTGGCAAATGGAAGCCAGACACGTTCCTAAGTCAAGGGTGGCTTGTTTACTGGGCTGGGGAAGACTTCCTGCAAATAACCCCCTTTTTCTCAAGTCAAAGCCTCTCTGTGCCTTCCCTTTTTCTCTGCCCCCACAGCCAGCCTCATGATTCTAGCTAAAATTTCCCCCACTGTTCCTTTAAAACACTCTCCACTGTGTTATTCTAAAGACATTTAATTGTAGCATGGGCTTCTTGGCAAAAGAAAACAGACAAGGCAAAATGACGAAGGGAGACAAAGACGTATTGAGAAGAGATATATCTTCTATTGTTAATTATATATAGTGTGAGCATCTGGAGTCTTTACAATGAACAGCCAGGCAGGGATAATATCACTGCTGATCAAAACACTGCATTCTTAGTCCCTGAGAAGATTATAAACCTGCCCAGTAGCTCAAATGCACCAACAAGGGCAGAAGGAAGTCCACAAAGCACTTCGACAGTCTCTGTTTGAAAAACTTCATTAGGCTGAAAATTATACGGAACTCAGACTGCATGCTACAAAACCACACCTTATCTTTTTAAGGTGTCACAGGCTCAAATGTCAGTAATTCTACCGTATTGTCTACTGTGTGAAAGTCAGTGTCAGCACGGCAGCAGAGATCACTTGGTCATCTCTGAAGAGCAACGGGGCAAGTAAGAAGGGTGTGGGGACAGACGTAGCTGGGTCTCAGTCTGGCTTCACCGTGTATTATTAGCTGCGTGGTTTCATACACTTTACTTAATCTGTGTCTTAGATTTCTTATATTAAATTTTGAATAATAGAGGCCTGCCTTACATAGCTCCATGGGTTGAAAGGAGAATCACAAAGCATTCTAAAATCTGGAGTTTCACCACAAGGAAGAGGGCTACCATCATTACGGTATATGTCAATAAGCCACGAAAATAAAGAAGGTGGTGATGGCAGAGTATTTACACTGGCAGCATGCTATCACACACCCAGTTTGGAAGTTGTGTTTTTCTCCCGTAGCAGGTACCTTTAGATTCTTTTACTCTAAACAATACAAATAGAGCATATATGCTGTGAATTTTTATTCTGTTTTCTTTTAGACAAAGAAAGTGGAATTTAAATCCAGGGATTAACATGTGGGAAAAACATTATCATTTAATGATCATAGAATAGATCAGTAGACTGGAAAGATCCCTCCAGTTTAAAAAAAAAAAAAAAAAAAAAAGGAGAATGAGAGGAAGAACTGCATGGCTGCTTTGCACATGTGGTCAGCAGGGAATAACCTCGGGAACTGAGTCACATACAACCTTGTATGAGTGGCCGGCATGTGACCTGACTGCAGCATGCCGGTGGGGGTGGGGGGGTGAGGTGGGGCAGAGGGTCCCTGCATGCTCCTGTGTCAGACTCTCAGAGTCTTACATGTAAGATCATTGTGCTATCAAATGGAGACACAGAGTTAAATAAGTCATAATTTCTTTTAAGATGCTCAAAATCTGGCTTGGGGAGTTCTTAATCTACATGAGGAAACCTGAAGTGGCTCAGATCAGAACTGAAAACTATATTTAGAGCATCTATGATGAAGAACAGAATGGAAGGAATATGGGAAACCTTCCAAAAGATACAGAAAACCTACATGGGATCTAATCCTCAAAGGTGCCTTGCCTTCTAGAAATACATACAACAAATAAATTACTGAAATTCAGTACCGAAAATTTATAGTTTCCTAGAGAAAATTCTAGATATCCCTCTAAAACTACTTTTAATTTTCAAAAACTATACTGCCAAATAAGAGAGGTGGCAGGCTCAAAAAAATGCCATCTATGAGATCATAGGTATTAAACTTGCAGACTTATCCACTCATAAAATATTTGCAAAGTACTCATGAAAGATCTATTACCTTTGTGTACCTTCACTAGGAATTACATGGGAAAGAGGACAGAAAGTATCTTGCCCTTTAAAACCTTACAGTGAAGTTGGTGAATCAAGGAATATATCCCATGGTCATCATGAAATTAGGCTATTTTCATAGGTTTATGTTAAATAATTGTGCTACTTAAGAAATATATAAAAATGTTATTTGGATGTAAAGAATACAGAAATAGAGTGGAATATGTATGTAACTCTGGAGGAACATAGAGTTAAATAATTTTGTTCCAAAAGGTTAAAAACAGTGAACAAAAATTTTGAAGATTTTTATCTACCAATTTTAGGGCTCAGTGAAAATGAGTAAGTAACTTAGAATAAGAAAGTCTTTCTTTTTTTGTAATCCTTCAACTGTGCATTTAAAACATGAATCATATTCAAAGAGTAAAAGGTCTTGCCTCGTATTAAGTGGGCTGCTCACAATGAATGTCAAAATAAATACAAACTTGTATATTATATAATATAGGTACATTCAACATATTTGTGATCATACTATACATGGATACAAAATATCCTTATTAAAACTATAATGTAATATCACAATATAGGCTTCCTTGGTGGCTCAGAGTTAAAGAATCTGTCTGCCAATCCAGGAGACGCTAGTTTGATCCCTGGGTCAGGAAGATCCCCTGGAGAAGGGAATGGTTAGTTACCAACTCTAGTATTCTTGCCTGGGAAATCCCAAGGACAGAGGAGCCAGGCAGGCTACAGTCCATGGGGTTGCAAAAGAGTCAGACACATAACTTATTGACTAAACAACAAAAATCATAATGTAAATGTATCATAAAAATACATCATAATGTAATATAATTTAATATCATCATATAATCATTTTCCCCCAAAACATAATTTTTACTGTGTACCTTGGGTAAATTTACCATAATGTACTTAAATCATTTCTCTACTATTGAACATTTTTGATTATTTTAAATTAATTTACTACTACAAACAGTTTGACAATGAACATAATTTTTTTTTTCATTTCCATCCTGAAAAAAATAAAGAAATAGCCTTCGGAGCCTTAATAAGATTAAAGGGAACAACAGAAATTCAAGACATATAAAGTTTCCTTCTACACGCTAAATTCTCTGCCAAGAATATGATCATGTAAGAGATGTGCAAAGGAAAGCCCTGGGTCTGTGCTAACTAATAACTAACTTGTCTTGCAAAATAATAAGTCCTAATAGGAGGGCAGAATATATTCCATGATAGTACAGCAGGTTTTAGATAATGAGAAGAGGCAAGAGATGATGTGATGGTCACGGCTTTTGACTACATTATCTACGGTAAACTCAACAATAAACTATAAACCTCTGTCTAGAATCTGAAACTAATGAATGAGACAATATAAAGCTCAAAGGATTACTTTCAGTCCAGGAGAGCATCACAAACTTCATGCTATTTCATAATTTCATCCATAAGCTGAACAATAAATAGAACAATGTCTCATTAAATAGATGCAAGAAGTTGATGTTGAAAGTTGTCAAGAACTTGGAGGATAAAACTAGAGGTCAAAGGGGTTAGGAGTAAATTGAAAGAGGGATTGGAATCCCGAAATGGACAACCTAAGGAAGAAATACAGTATAGTCTTCTTCTTCTAGGGTGAGGTGCAGGAAAGCATTCTCTACCAGAAGGATGAAGGAATAATGGGCAATGGTGTTTACCAAGCTGACCATCATCTTAAAGACCATCGTCTTACATCATCTTAAAAATGAGGAAAACACTGGCCAAATGACTGTAATTTTGGATTGAATTCTCATTAGGGACAGATCAAAAAGAGTTTCAAGATCTTTATTTTAAATGTGGAGAGTAAATGGACTGAGAAACTAGTACAAAAAAAGCAAGAAAGAATGAGATTATTCAGTCTATACAGATAACATTCAGTATATGAGTATTCAAGAAAAATGCTTCTTATAAAATACATATTCCTTCTTAATCAATGGGCCCCTGAAAAGCTCCATGTTCCCTTTCCTAAGGGTCAAATATGGGCCAATGTGCTAAAACAGAGGAACGAAAACTAAGCATGGATATGAGATCTTTCTCAAATAGTGAGCATCGCCTAGTATTAAAATGGACCCCTGAAGAGGAAGTTAGAAAATCTTTTCCTTTTCTTGGGCTTGTTACAAAGGAGAGAAACTTTATGTGATAGAATTTTCACTCACAGAGAATTTTCATTCACAGAGAATGAAGGGATTATGCTCTATTTCTGAAATGTTATGAGTTATTCTATTTTTCCTGTGACTTTTCCCATTTCTGCATGTCCAGGTTTGGCCTTTCTCATCAGCTGGATTCTACCTTTGTGGGTTCTCTTTGGAAATGGTCTATCTACAATTAGTAGTTTTAGAAATATTTTATAGCTCCCCCTCACCCCAGCATTTCAGGCTTTCAGCTTTTGCTTAAAGAGGAATGCACCTCAACACACGTATCTGTAGCTTCCCTGAACCTTTTAACAGCTGCAGATCTCTAGAGATGACTATAGTTAAGAACTGAGAAGTGGTCACAGGAGCCAAGCCATGGAAAACCAGAAGTGAGGGATTCTTCCAGAAGAGGGGTAACTACTTAATTAACTGCAATGCACTCTCCTTATATCAACCCAGTGCCCACTCAGCAACAGACACAAATATCCACAAAGCTGCTTGCAATTTTTCCAGTTTCCAAGCTTGAGTAGTAAGTCAAGTCCTGAAATTTATTTCCAGCGTGCCATTTTTGTTTCTACTCTTTAAAAAGCAGCTGAACTTTATATAGGCTTACCATTTCCCCTGGTAAATAATACTTTTCCCTTTCCTGTGAGGCACTGGTTAGGTGGTCACTGTGGGCCACTCCCTTTCACCTCACTGCTTCTGGTTTTAAATATTGGGTTAGGTTATTTTTTTCCTTCTAGGGGAGATGAAATGTCAGGAGCAGCCTAGCAGTGGCTAGATCTACTTTTATATAACATACAGGGCAAGATGCAGGTGTTTGCTCTTTGAATAACAGCGTTTCCTGAAAGTTACTGGGCTACAACAGTATATTATTCAGGAGTATTTATGACTCTAGAAGCCCAAAGGGAAATAGCATGCACAATCACATTTTTATTTGATTGCAATTATGCAAGAGGCCTATAAGTATCTATGCTGACCGTTCATGCCACTGGCCTTTTCAGGGAGGTCCTGGAAGTTTTTGACCCCCAAATGCTTTTCTTAATCTCGTTTAATTGCCAACAAAAGCACATTTAAAGTTTATAGCTGCACTTAAAAATGAGTAATTGGTTCTTACCTGGAATTGATTGCTAGCAAAAGGACTGTGCCAAACTTACCCCAGATTAAAATGATGTACCGGAGTGGAATGAAATACAATGTGATGGTGGCAACTGCCAGTATCAAACAGGCCAGGAATGAAAGGAATGGGACCGTCCAGTTAAATGTGCTGTAGACAAACCACATACATGTCATTTTCTCTGATGCTAAAGAAAAGCAGTAGATTCATTTTGCCATGTTTTTATTTCTCAGTTATACACATGAAAAAAGGTCTATTGGAGAAGTTGCTTCTCAAAACTGGGATATAAAAGTCTGCCAGAATGATTGGACACTGGAAAACAGTTTTGAGGTGAAGGTCACAGACCAACTGCCATTCAGCTCATCTGGATCTTGGTGACTCTGCCTTCCTGGAACTGACAGTACTTAAGAGAAAACTCTGACTCTCAAAAGTGATTAAACACTGCAATATTGTCATGTGGCTCTGTGAACGCAGAGCTTCAAAATGAAAGGTGAGTTAGGTCACTTCAAAGTCAATATTTCTCTCTCAATTAACACATGCTTGCCAGTAAATATTTAGAGACGGGAGGCTATTATTACAGTGCTCTTGTGTTTTTCTAATAACTTATATTTAGAATTTCCAGACTCGTTGACTCCAGAAAGGTAATGATGCCCTGAAATGGGCTACGGAGCTTCTGGCTATAAACCATCACACCACCAACCCACCGATAACACAGGGAACGTTGCCGCATATCATTTTCATGGGACCCTGGCTCCTTTTGTCCTGTCTATTGCCTGTTTTGACTTGAGATCTAGAATATGAGATGTGGGACTGAATGTACTGTGGAAATCCTTGCAGAATCCTAGAAAGTAGTCATTAAATGCAGTGCCTTGATGAGAGCTCATGAGTGTCTAGAGTATTCTTCCAGGCATCTTCACTTAATATGTCTATTGACCCTTTGCCCTGGGCTAGGAATAAAAGAGATGAAAGATTTATTTCTGTTGTCTTTTTTTTGGGGGGGGGCATATCAGGGGATTTGGGCATAGCAGCTTATAATAGTTATTGGGCACTTAGTAGGTGCCACTGTCCTAAGATATATATATACACAGAGAGAGAGATTGTAATACTTAACAATAATTCTTTCAAGTATGGCTTATCTCCCTCTTACAGATGAGCAAATCAAGGCTGAAGTAAGGGTTTGGGGATTAACATATACAAAATACTATAAATAAAACAAGGAAACAAAGACTTACTATATAGCACAGGGAAGTATACTCAGTATATTAACCTATAATGGAGAAGAATCTGAAAAAATCCATATATATACAGACATATATATGTATGCATAACATTGTAAATTAACTATACTCAATAAAAAATAGAAAAATATAGGAGAAATCAACTCACGCCTCAATCTCTTGTTAAAGATTGCCTATGGGGAGATACAATACTACATATGCATGTGTGTGTGTTTGCTATCTTATGTCTTTAAATTATAAGCAAGGTTGAACACATTTTAATATGATTGTTGGTCATTTTGATTCTCAGTGATATTCAGCTTATATCCTTGCCAGGGGCAACTATTTAAGAAAGTACTTAAGAAAATTTACAAGCAAACTGGCATGGATTTGAGTTCAGGCTCTATCTCTGAAAAGCTGAGAAAGACAGGAAAGTCTTTCAATCTGAACAATAACTTCTTCTCCACAGAATGGGAACAATAATAATAATACCCACAGCATAGAGTTTTGCTAGAATTAAATAGGAACTGGCATTTAAAATACTTAGCTCTTCATGTACATTACCGTATGTAAAACAGACAGCTAGTGGGCAGTTGCGGTGTAACGCAGGGAGCTCAGCCCCAGGCACTCTGTGATAACCTAGAGGGTGCGATGGGGTCAGGGGTAGGAGGGAGGTCCAAGGGAGGGGACATAAGTGTACCTATGGCTGATTCACATTGTTGTGTAGCAGAAACCAACACAACACTGTAAACTGATTATCCTCCAATTAAAAACAAGTTTTAAAAAAATAGCTCTGGTAACACATGAAAGATAGCTTAGTATTCAAATAAAATTTTTACCTTAAGTTTATTAAAAAAATAGTTCACTCCATTTCTTGCATATTTTAACCACAAACAAAGAAGTTGTTACTTATCTGTTTTCCCTAGAACTTTGTTGCTGGATATTTTCCTCAAATAAAATCTCTTTGGAAACTTAAGAAATCAGTTCTTTGTCATATTTATTACAAACATTTTCAGTTTGTTACCTTGTCTTTTAAAAAACCTTGTTTATAGTTTTTAAAGATAAAAATTATAGATTTTACACTACCAAGCTCATCAAAACTTTTGCATATGTGTAGGTTCATTCCTGACTATTCTCTTCCATAGTAGAACTTCTTAGGAGGCAACTTCACAATACTTGTGAAAATGTTATGGAATCCATAATTGCCCCTTTATGCCAGGGCAAGAAATTTAACCTGCAAATATCTTTGCACAAGGATGCAGAGATGGTACATTAATGTCTGATGCAGTATGATTTGTAAGTAGTTAAAAAAGAAAATAGCCTCAGTATTAAATAATATCTAAATAAAATCATAGACAAATAGTTTTAGTACCTTGAAAAAAAAAAAGAGAAAGTTACCACTAAACTGACTTAAAAATAAAGAAAGCAATAGAGTGTAAAAGATAATGTATTGCAAGAATTCTGGAGGTTACCAACTTCCAAAGTCAATTTCACTCTAATAATTTCTGCCAGATATTAAAATTTTGAACTTCTATATCTGTTAACTGCATGGGGGGCAGAATATACATGTAGCCTAGGGTTTCCACAAAATAAGATTCATGTAGAAGAACATTGTATAAAACTTATATATTCAGGGTAAGGATGAATTGAGAGAGACAAGTAGAAAGACAGAGTGGAAAAGGATGAAAAGAAGGGAAAACAAATCTATCATATACAAATAGATGCAAAGAATTCTCTGTGTCATGATGCTGGTACCAAGATTTATCATCCAAGTTTATACTACCAGTATACTTTAAAAAAACCTCAGCAAAAATTTAATTAAAAAAAGAGATTCCAGGTTGAATCACCCCAAAGTGACTAGAGCAGTAATCTTCTCTAAGGAAATGCATTATCAACCCATATATCTGAGTATACTCCACACACACACACACACACATGGAATGTGAGCTCATAGTTAAAGCAGTAAAATATAAATGGATACACAGCATCATGAGTAAGTGAGTAAGAGCTATCAGAAGTAATAGCAAAACCCCAAACTGAAGACCTCACATACTGAAAGCAAACATAACACATTAAATAATAATGCTTAATACTTTAGAAGTCATAAAACAAAGGCTTAAAAATACGGTCAAGGACGAGATTGTAAAAAATAACCAAGAAGATTTGAAAACAAAGCAAGTAAAACTTTAAAAAGAAACACAGTGATTAAAGTTAAGACCTATGTGTATGGAAATACAAAAAACCTCGAATAGCCAAAGTAATCTTGAGAAAGAAGAATGGAACTGGAGGAATCAACCTGCCTGACTTCAGACTATACTACAAAGCCACAGTCATCAAGACAGTATGGTACTGGCACAAAGACAGAAATATAGATCAATGGAACAGAATAGAAAGCCCAGAGATAAATCCAC